AGACTGACAATAAATCTATGCCCTTCTCCTTGTATAAAATTTGAGTTCATACATAACTGTCGCTTTTGCATCGTTCGTTTTCGTTTGTTCTGTTAATGACACGCAACATTCATTTTCTCAAAAGGAATTGTGGAACTTCTTTTATTGCATGATTGACCAAACTGGTATTAGCACATTCAAATTTTACTTCCAGAGGATGTTTTTTCCACTTTTAGTATTACTATTTGCTTTTCAACACGTCTACCTTTCTTTAGATTCATACCATTTCAGTTGATCAATTACCTGAGGAATTCCTTTTTAAAAATCCATCCTACAGCCAATTACTCTAAAGACTGCCCCTCTCTTCTCAGAGAAATGACACAAATTCAGCGCTACGCTTCCACATCTGTTGTATGACGAATTTCGTAGGAGCAAGTTGGTTGGGCACCATGAGGTCGGACTTGGAAACTTGCAGAATTTTGATTGTTTCGCATTAAGCCTCACAAAATTATACTGCCAAAAAATATATTCTTTGTCTGTCAAAGATATACTCAAGCTCCTATGGGTTGTTTATACTTTGTACTTTACTTACGGTCAAAGATAAGATTCACTTTCAACATTTTTTATATTTTGTTAACTGCTTCTAGAATACTCTATATTTATCTGACGGGTGGAAATGTTTCTTGTTCCTGCGAACACATTAATAACTAATCGAATAGAACTGTTCAAGGCATACGATCCTTTTGAAGACCGACATTTTGAGATCAGAACATCGTCGAATAAACTTCTAAATTGTCGTCGCTGGCAACACAATAAATTTAAATAAATTTATATTTGTATAATGAATGCGAAAGAATTTCCGCAGATGGCATTGTTTTACAAGATTAGAGATAGTAAATAAATTACATTATGCTTGAATGGTGATACTAAATTATAATTTTTTGAGGATGCAGATGTGCATCTTTCATCTAGTACATTTCATATGAGTAAGGAAGATCATTAAATCCTGGAACGTTACCATTCTGCAGCGAAGTGCTAATCGAACTAAGAGACAAAACAATTGGGATCGTTCATCAAATAGTTGTCTTTAATTTCGAAAGGTCGACTGGAAGGCAAATAAAATCATAGTTCCCAGCAATTTACGTTTGAGACAGAAATGTTTAGCAGTAACAATCTATTGGCGCTTCTTCCCAAGGAAATTAAAATATGTTTAACGAACAAATACAGTTTTACTGGTTGAGAGACCTTGTTATATGAAAAGGGTCCTATGAGAATGAAGAATATATTGAGGAACGTATTGCTTTACCTGCACTTGCAGTGACAACTGTAGTGAAAAAATTTGGCGAAAGTTAACAGAATACGAAAACAGATCAAATAAACAGAAGAGGCGAGAACAGTATAAGAGCTGCACAGAACGGCACCAAAATAATTCAAAAAGAGAGCAACTTGCAGTAAAAGAACATTTTTGAAATTAAAATGCGAATTAAACTTGAGCAAGGTGAAAAAAAGAAAAGAGATGAACATGATCAATCAGGCTTCCGTTCGCCATTGCGACATTACGGTAGTCAGAGGCGTTTTGTTTCAAAGTATATGTTCCAGGTCTTTATGAATCTTCACCCGCTCTAATCAATGATCGTACCTCGTCAGTTTTTTCTAAATCATTATTGTCTAAAATCGGAAAATGTGCATTTATTTCAATAAATTATTCCTTAATTCCAATTTCAAACCAGTTTACTGTTGTGCAATTTTTTTTGAAAGATCCTGCATTGCTGTTGTAATAAAATTTGTGCTTATTGCGTATATTTCAAATAATGTACTAATATGCTTGTTCATATAAAAAATATTTCAGACTTCGTGGTCTTTTTCGGTCTTTCCCAGTTTAATTGTATACTTCCATAACTAATAATAATTAATTCAGAAGAATGGTAAGGAGTAATATACATGAAAATCTTACTCGCTGCATGCTATACGAAACCCGTACTTCCACGGAGGTAGTGTTTGGTAATCATGTAATTTGCTCTTCTGCGTAGTGTGATTTAAGCTGCTGGTTTCAGAAATAAATTTTTTCGGCGATTTTTGAATTCGAGATTTGTTGTAATAGCAGTATCTTAGAACGTGTGCCATTTTATATTTGTGCTTATTTGTCTAGCGTCGATTGCATTCAGTGAGTTGAATAATCTGAAATATGCGTCATATAATTCCTATCCATGTTGCTCAACGATGCACAAAGATAAGACTTTTGTTTTGAGTGTTGAGTGACAACAAAGAAATCTCGATTTTCACGCTTTAATCATGATTTTTTTCAGTTTGACAGCCCGTTGTAAACGTCGCATACAGTTTTAAAATTTTCTTTTCAGTTCAGTTCTCAGAAAATAGTTCATTTAGCGAATTGACAAATTTTGTTTCATAGGATGAAGACAAAGCTTTTCCACCTCTGACCTTTGTATGAGGAGATTTTCTGTTAATGTGAAGAACTTTTATTCTGATGCATGTAGTTTCAAACGATTCTTTTACTGGATTCATTGATGCTGGTGGCTGATGGTTGACAGAGACATCTGTTGGTGATTCTTGTGAGCGAGTAATGCCTTATGAAAACAACCTAACACGGTCTGTTTGTGTACAACGCAAAAGTATACAGTCAATCGGTTGACGGACCAGTACTGACTATTTTTATCCATCGCTTACGGGTTTTCAAGAAAAAGAGGTTCTTCTCTTGTACGCAGCGGTTGGCACGGTTGCAGCCAGAAGAGCTACTGACTTTACACGTACTAGCCGCTGCGAACAAGAAAGGACCTCCTTACCTTTAAGACCTGTGAACGACAGGACGGGACTAAGTGTCGATATTGGCCAGTCCATGATTGACATATATTTTGAATTGTGTACATTAGCAAATATTGTTTGATGTTTTTCAGCGTGACCACTAACGCACGAACAAAATACTCAAAGATGAACATAATGATGGCTGCAGGTGTGGTTCGGCATTTGCCAAATTGTGTTATCAGTGATGAAATCTTTGTTTCACACAGTGTATTGGCTCCGAAAGTCAAAGTGTGTCATAATGTCTGCGTTTAGTGGCTGTATGCCACAGAGCTTGTACCAAGATAGAGGTTAGTGCTCCAACACCAGTCGCTTACCACGGTGTTCGAAAAATTGAAATGTATGTATCGACACAACTAGTATTATGTTTTATGTTAAAGCAATTTTTTGCACTTCAGCGATGGCACTTAAACAATTTCTTGGACCCCATATAGTATATCGGGGGGCATCAAAAGTGGGTAGCTTTTAATTCTCAGCAACCAAGATATTCGTTCTACAACCTTTAGTAATACAATATTTATTGATTTATATACATCGGATTTACCGTTTACCTTGAAGTACTCCTTAACGATCAGGCTCTGAACGTTCGCCTTGCACCGGCAGAACCTTTAGCTGTAAATTCTGATCTCTTCAATCCCGAAGAATTCAGCATTCACAATTGCTGCCCTTTCGGTACTGAGCTAGGTGACTAAAATGATAACTCATTTCTAATTAAGCCATTTTAAACGTATAAAAGTTAATATTAAATTTATTTTGAAAATGCCTATATGAAAAAATCGTAGCCAACTATATGTTTATGGTTAATGTGTAGCCTTTGTTTGTACTGGCCCATGGTCGTCTGATCATTCTAATCTGGCTAGGGTTGCTCAGAGATAGGGCGTCAGACTAATCTGAATACCCGAGTTCGAGTTGCAGTCAGTGGGGTTACTCGCTTTTGTTCGTTTGGAGGTTGATGAATGAATGCTACTCTGTGGGAATGAAATAAGTTTAGGCCTTATGCTTTCCACATGGCTGTTGTCAGCTCTACCTTGGAAATAAGGCACCTTTAGTTGATCTCCTTAAAATGAAGATCAATGTCCTATTATTGACTTCATTAAAAAAATGGGCGCCAGAGCAGAAATGACTCTATCATGAAGGTGTAAGGAAGACTGATATTCCAACTGTTACAGGCTTTCCTTTTCCTTCTGATCACTTACCCTGCTTTATTATTTTACTTGCTGGTTATGTAGAAATGCGATGCCGGAGAGTGAACCGTTGTTCTTTGCGCGTAAGTGAGCACTGTTCTTGTTCTTGTTTGATAAGAACAGATTGTTTATTAACGGCTTTTTATTCCAGGTAAAAAATGTTTAAAATTGGTTTTGTCGGACCTGTTAGAAAGGTGAAGATCCTCAAAAAGCGAACCAAACGGTTCATTCGCCACCAGTCCGATCGTTTCAAAAGAGTCAAGGTATTTTCGATTTCAGATTATACATTGAACGACTTGTACAGTAGGCTGTCAGAGAGAGAGAGAGAGTCTGATTTTGAACTTAAAGTTTCTTGATCTTAAATCATGAATCTTTCTTAAGAGATTCAATGTCTGAAGTTACCGTTTGTTAGGTATCTGTTCGTAAACGGCATGCAGATATGTTTATGTTTATCTAATGATTTACTACTTGATAGCAACTTAAAAGCTTATGCATTCTAAGTAATCGATTTGTGTTCCTGATGCAGTTTCCGGGACGATGTAAACAATGGCTTTAAAGTTTAAAAGTAAAGTTTAAGATTCTTTTTCATCTTTGGCAATATTTTACATTTTGTATAAATAGCGCAGTGCAGAATCAGGAAGTGCACAAACACAGTTAAGAACCTCCCCTCCCTCGAGATTTGACGACAAATATAATAGCATTAAAATTGCATTTAGTTTAAAAGCTTGGACAAATGCGAACTACAAATCCTATGGCTAGCAGCGATCGCCATACTGACTTAGTTGCACTGATTTCTGTCTGTCTCACGATCTTACTATCTGTTGACTTAGCTGTAGCTGCTCCCAAAATTTTCCTATATTTTCGGTTGGTCTTTTGCTTATTACTGTTGTACTGAGGTACTACTGTATGTTATGGTTCTTTATTACTGAGCGTTTTGCTGCAACATAGTTGTTTTCGCTCCTCTGCGAAGACATGCCACCTGTTCCCGCTATGCCATAGTTAAGAGTTTTCTGCCATTTCCTCTATGTAGCTATTTATCAGCGCACAAACAAAACAGGATTTTTCAGTTTCCTGTTTTGGAAAAATTTCCGTAATAGTTTTAATTTGTTATAAAATTCTCTAAGCAAAATAAATTGAATTAATCCATTATCGTTCTTCGTCCATTAACAAGCTTTGTATGCTGCAAATGACTTTACGACTTTTTATAGACAGTAACGGATGATTATTTGAAATATGTTTTTCAATTGAATGGATATTTTCTGTAGTATTCAGTGCTCTGTATAATAACACATGCGCACTATTGTCCGTTAGCTGAACATCTGTTTTCGTCATATTCTTAATTCGTTCCTTTTGTGTCTTCATGTAAGGACGTGGTAGACGTGGTATGACGTGGTATGACGTGATGTTAGTTTCCTCCATGTTCGATTAATTTTCATGGGTTGCCGTTTTGGACAAAACTGCTTACTTATTAAGAACAATCATAATCAGTTTTAAAGATAACTTTTATCGCAGACTAAGACACAACAGCTTCGTAAATAATTCTGTCCAGTCAGTTGATTGTTACCTAATCCGGAATGACCAGCGTTTCACATCCTTAAGACCCTTAAAATTGCGTAAAATAGAGAAATATCAGTTTCACTCTCGTCATCTTAAATCATTTGAAATACATGTTAGTTATCAGTGCCATATTAGATATTGTCATAATTTTTTGGATTACTTATACACAGAAAAATTTAACCCGGTCTCTGAGGTACTTGTGGCAGCATCAGCAAAATCCAGAAGTAAAATTTCTATGCTCAAGATCTTATCAGTTTTCTGGAGAGAGTTCAACGTAATGCAGCGGAACCATCTATATATTTTATAATCTGCATATAGATAAGTAGAGATGTTTTCATGGAATCTTCGTTTGAGGTTGCAGTCTTATACAAACATGCAAACATGAACCATCTGGAGACCACTTCCTTACTGTTTGAGTTATATCTTATAAATCATTGCAGCATTCGCCTTCCATGATTGACATGTTTGGCATATACGGCGACAAAGGAGCCAACGAAGTTTTTGATTCTCACATAGGCTTTTCATCTGTTATACTTAGTTAAGTTCACGTGTATAAATGAATCATCAAAATAACCTGTTTGTTCTTTTAAAATGATGTACGATTCATTTAATTATTTTTGTCATGAAAAGCAGAATTACATTCCTTGATTCAAACTATTGTTTCTGCGATATTTACCGCTGTTTTCTGCAATATGAAGCTGAGCTCTGGCCTGTTGTATCACTCGAGTAATATAAAAAACATGAGAAATTCACTAAATACTTTACTAACAGACCTTTTTCCTGAAAGAATTATAATTACTATTATTTATTTGGTCCAGTAGTATATTTTTTTACATCTCATTGGATGTAAAGTTTAAACTATTATGTTCAAATGCGTTCCCCTCGGCCTAATTTCTAAAAATATTTTGAAAAAGGAACGACCATAGGGAACTCTACACCAGACAGAAAAAGAAAACGTCAGAAAGCCTGATTTGAGAAACTGAATATTTTCTAAGATACAATTTTATGACTGCCCTAAATTCCATACAGTGATAAGGCACCTTAACGTTGAATTATTTAATGGCACAGCGTTTGCAAAATCTGCATTTTGCATTGGTGGACCATTCGGTCTTGAATTCCAGATAATGCACTTCTTAGTGGTTGCTAAGTCTTAGCGTAGTTCAGAGTACTAATCCTCAACATGATGGAAAAAATTTTTTACTATTATTTGTTTATAGTTCAGTAACGATGATATATGATTTTATATGTATTTCTTGCCACTAGAATATAAACAACAGTAACTTTTACACATGCGACATGACATTAATTCAGTATATTTGTAGTTTGAGCAGTGCGCGGTAAAATTTATACCTTGATGATCATGATCCTATATCTAACTTATTAGTTTGTTATAATGGTAAGTTGCTTCAGTCTAATCAAACTGTATGTACTTGATTGTTGTTTTGATAATTCATTTTTATGCTGCCGGAAAGTTCATAGTTTATATCTATTAAGTGGCGTTAAACTTCATTAGCCATTTATTGCATTTAGCCAAGCTGGAGGAAACCGAAGGGTATTGATAACTGCGTTCGCAGGCGGTTCAAAGGTCAGCGCCCGATGCCGGGAATTGGTTATGGCAACAACAGAAGGACGCGGCATATGTTGCCGAATGGTTTCCGGAAAGTACTGATCTATAATCCCCGCGTAAGTCAGTAGTACTGGAATGTTTATAACATTTAATCACTTTGTTTCTTCAGGACTTGGAATTTCTTCTTATGCAGAATGCTCGATATTGTGGTGAGGTTGGTCACGCTGTTTCCGCCAAGAAAAGAAAACTTATTCTTGAACGGGCTCAACAGTTAAACATCCGCTTGACGAATGGTCACGCAAGGTTACGTACAGAAGAAAATGAATGATGTTTTCGTTCGCATTGTTGTCATATTCTTTTATTGGATGAAAAACGCTAATGAATTTTTCTTAGTTCATTCTGTTGTGTTTAACGGTCACCATACTTTCTGTAAGCATTTCGGAATTACAGTCGATGTACAGTTTGAATTAAACTAAACTAACGTAACTTTTAATTATTAATAGGGGCTGTTACTACCGTGCGATGTTTTCATTGATTCCTCTTTCATGAAATGCATTTAACTATTGAATGTGCCGTAAGCAATTCCGGTTGAAGCAAATAGATTTGATAGATTCATTACATAATCGTTTATAGTTAAGTTCATTACTTTTAAAAAGTTGTTTTGCTGCAGAGCTAGTTCAATTTAGGAATTATAGTTTGTTCACCATTCGGAAGACGTGTGGTATTGAACCGCATCCATATGATTTTATGATTAGGAAATTGTAAAAGCATTGTAATGCCACTGTTTTTGAATCTCGTTTGCAACGAATTCCCAGTTTCGGATGCGAACGTTGCTTCAAGGAAACAGCCTCCGAAGTTATGGATATGAATATTTCATTCTACGTTGTAGTAGCCCCTGCATTACAAAATGTGTTGTAAAGTCCCTCACACAAATGGTTCAGTGTGATTATCTCAAACAGCTTACCTGATGGTACCATTCCTGAATAACTCGGTTCCAGTGGTCGCAACGCAAATTCTTATATAGTATATTCAATATCTGCTGAATTTTGCCATCAGCCAATGTGTCTAACTAGCAGGATATTGGCCAATACATTGATGGTACAAAACAAGCTGGACTTTAGATATGTTGAATATGGTGTACGAATTTTTGACCTTCATCATAATCTCCACACTGACATCTGTGCCTTTTCTGGAAAGTGCATAAATTTGATTTAAGAAGTTACGGTCATCGTAACAACAACGGGTTGAGAAGTATATATTTAATGATGGCATGGCTGGAGGCAAACAGCACTAACGTAAGCGTGTTATAAGGTTTATTTTAAACTAGGCGTATTCTTGCGCATAGAATTTTTGGCAGCAGTGCTGGAAATTCTAGCCATTACCGCAGATTCTTTCCACTGAATCACATGCCGGTACAGACCACTTTCGACAGATCCATATTAATTTACAACTTACTTATTGTTCGTTTGCAAGGCACGGCAATAGGTTAGTATTTATGGTTTTAACTTCAGTTCCGGTAGATACTTTATTACAGTATTCGTGGCTAGTCGAATTGCCTTATACCGCTGTTGGCATACCGTCAGCATACAGTGAAAAAAACGATTCAGAAAGCTTCAATGCAAACAAATTTTCGGCGCCTATCTGCGTAAATTTAGCAAATAAATAAATTTCAAATAATTTTCATATGGTTTTCTTCAAGGAAATTTTCTGCTCCAAAACGGCACCTCAAATTTGGGACTGTTCCAAGTACAACATTTATTTTAATTTATGGGCATTTTCCTTGACCTTAGCGTTTTAATAAAACTTTTCTAAACAGTAAGTGTTCTACAAAATATCTGGGTACCGGTTTTTAATTAAGGTTTACGAACAACATAAGTTATTTTATACATTATATTAGTTCAGATCAGATTCAGGGTCTGCGTAACCACCGCTGAATCCTGAACAAAATTCGGAAAGATACTATCTCAAAGTGGCGAGTTACCTCTGAATAGTCAAACCTTGACTAATTCTTCCGTTTTTGGATGACGAACTGTTCCTGTTGGTTTTCTTGGTATATTGTTTTTTTGGCACTAGGGCACTTGCACAATGCGAATGTTAACAACATCAGTTTAAGGGCTTCCCTGTTCAATTGTCAGTAAATCTATCATTTAAACTTTCATCACAAACTCGCCACCATATCCTAAAGCAACATGAAATCTTTATTACGCATTAAATGTGGGAATTAATAACAAAAACAAATAAAGCAAATAAATCAAGTCTAACGTCTCTGACATGCAACACATGCTTTAGCGCAAAAGCCGTTCTGGTTCTTTCTGTGGAACAGCCGTACCAAATCGTAAAAGTAAATTTACAGCGAGATAATTAAAGTTTATTAACCATCGTCCAATACAAACATTTCATTCTACGAGCGCTGCTAACCGCAGAGAAAATAAAAACATTCACTTAAATTTTACATTAAAACAAGACATCCACTTTTAAAGCACACTACCCTTTACAGGACACTTCATACCTACACGGCGACAGTTTCTGATTTTAGGGTGTTAGCAAACACCGTCAAGTTTTCGCAGCCGGAAACACAGCCGGGAGCGATCGCATGTACCATAATGTTTGTATACATTAACCGAAACACTGAAAAATTCAAATCACAGAACTTCAAGTAACGACGGACCCGGTATGATTATCAATGAATTAATTAATGCTGTGTGTTACAATAACGTTCCGTTTATAATAACGACTACAATTTGGCATACACCGTACATTATAAAAATTTCCGTTGCATGTCGAAAGATCACAAAAGCAATCATCAAATATAACTGTACATATCACTGTGACAAATACAATCAAACGAAATCTGACCAAATTATATTTTAAGCCAAACCAGCCTAACGCACAATCATTAGCCAAGAGCGGTTGTTCCCATACCACATCGCCACTGTTGGCAACTACACACTGAAATTTTTATCTCCAAATTAACTCCTTTTAATGCTACCTGTTAAGTGAATAACAGCCAATCTCCAGTTAATTAACTTGATAACAACACTATCCAAGCACAACAAAACGGTTGAGCTTACGTCCGTTGTCCGGAGAGGAAGACAGCGGACGAAACTCGGTGGGTCCGCGTCCGCTAGCTGGTGCTGGTTGTGGTTCCGGTAAGTAAGCGTGAACGGCTCTTATTCCCTTGCCAAACGTACAAACAGACCAAACAAAAGCAACACATGCGGTAAAGCGCCAAAATACACGAATAACTTCAGCGTAGTAATCACAGATTCGCGGAAAGCGAGCGTTTCATTTCACAATTGCCGCCGTCGCCTCATACCGACACCATAATCTTCTTGTTACAAAAAAACAATACTGTCTGCTGTGATGTGTGTTTGTGTAACATGCATAAACTGTGTGAGAACGTGACATGTGAACGAACGAACGAAAACGAGTATCAATTATCATAATCGAAATTAGTAGTAGCAAGAATAGGAGAATAGAGTGTTTTTTACAGACGTTAGCTTTTCGGTAAGATAATAACGAAGAACAATAAGGTGGGTAGTAGATGCTCTGTGTGTTGCATTATGGTGTGCGCGACATCGTATTATGCCTAGTGCTGTCCTGTGGGGTAGGAATGAGCGCTCGTTCGCTCAGTAGGCTCTTTTCCTTCTTTGGAAGCGCAGGATCCCGTTTCTTCTTGTGACGGATGAGAGATCACCGTCGGTGGCGGTGGCGATTGTTGTTTTTGCGCCGCTTCGTCTTTCTGTCGCTCGATCTGTCTCCCATCTTGGTCAGCCGCTGTTTTGTCCGGTGACGCCAAAGGAACTGTCACCCCTCCGCCATCCTCAGCTAATTGCGATGGTCGCGATATCTTCTCACAAACGACGGCGAAATAGTCGCGAAATCGTTCCCACGATCGTTCAGGTACCGTGATCGCCGTTCTGAAATTCGTTTTCACCTAAAATTATGGGTCAAGTAATTAAAAAACAAAAGTACTAAAAAGTATTCTCTCCAAAAATACGCTGTATAATCTCTAAATATTACTAGATATTTACAGCAATGGAAAAGCAATATTTACTGGCAGGGTTGGAAAGCAGTCATTCGTGCTAACGTTTTCAATATATCGAGGTTGCATTCTGGTTATTATAGTTTGTCGGGATATTTACCTATCGATCATCGCAAATTTTGTTAGTGTTCGAACATGACCCTGCTCAACCAAACTCAGATGTGGTCTTGCATCTGATTCACTGCAGGTGCTCAAGTGCCATTGAGCCGTGCCTTGCTTAAATTATACCCCTAGGCGACAAGAAGCATGGGAGCTGTGCGCTTTTTCGGTGTAAATCTGGTATCAATAATCGAAATGCAATTAAAGCAAACTAGGCGTTTCGTACGCGGCTTATTTGAAGAGTGAAATGGTATTCATGCAATTTTCGTACACTTTTCCTAG